TCGTTTTTCAAACGAAAACCTGTATATTCTCTTCCATAGTCGTTTTCTATGCAAAATTCTCTTTCCAACGATGTGTAATAAGTGACGTTTCCGTCTTAAAGGCGCTCGAAAGGATTTTGTGAATAACCTGAAATCTGCCATACTGCTTACAAGAGAAAACATATTTTAAACTGCCAAAGCTTACTTATTTGAAGAAAAAAATCTGGAATCTGGAAAAAATCTTCACCACAGGATTTCTGATAGATTTTTAATAGAACCCTATATACCTTTTGCAGAAATCTTATTCTACATAAAGTTCCCTATTCAATGATGTATATCGAGTATTACTTTTGTTGTCAAATGTCAGCTGCATAACAAAAGTTGTGAATTAACCTCCATAAGCTATATGTATTACAAAACAAAAAGCGGTTTTTTATTGGCTCTAAATGAAAATGCATTTCCAATGTTAAACAAGCTACTGTCGGTTTAGTAACAAATTAAAATTACAACTATTTCGTGCAAGCCATAAATCGCCCCAAAAAAATAAGGAGGCTATGAAAATTTAGGATGTTTTCAAATAGCATTTATTTGAAAAGAATAGTAGGCTGTGGGAAAGAAATGAAAGTCAATTCAGAGAGTACCCATTATTGTTTAGTTATTTGACGTTTGGCATATTCGATAAAAGGTAAACCTACAGTATTTTTTTACTAGAAACGAGCAGTTGATATGATATTAATATTCTGTGAATGTGGAAAGAATTCTCAAAATGCTTATGCTACGTACGCTCAGCGATATCCTAGTAGAAGACATCCAAGTTATTAATACTTTTTCAAGTTATAGGCAAAGTTTAGAGATGAGGATGTCAATGGCGATGAAGAGAACTCTTTCATAGTAAGTGGAGATGCGGAGATAAATGTTTTGCCATATGTTCACTTTGACCTAACTGGAACAAGCAAAAAATGTAAATCGTGAGTCAGCTAGGCAGGTTTTGGAGAAACATGGATTCCGAAAATGCAGTTACTATTCGACGCAGATATTAATTTAAAAGAAATGGTGGATGCGATCATTGCTCGATGCTTCAGTTTTAAAATAGGTGAATGTGGTCATTACTCGTACGTAGATAACATCGATTCAAGGAATGGTACATGTGATCATTGTTCGATACGGCTTTAGTTTAAAAAATGGTGAATGCGCGTACTACTCAACGTAGTCAATTTATAAGAAATGGTGAATGCGATCAATGCTCGACGCGACTATAGTTTAAAAAATGGTGGATGCAATCACTACTCGACGCATATATTAATTTGAACATATGGTGAATGCGGCGGACATTTTCACCATTCGTAGACGCAGAACATCTAAAAATGGTGGATGAGATCACTACTTGGCGTAGATCTCCATTTTTACAATCGATAGCTGAATTTTAAAAAGTAACTCACTCAGTTGACATCTACGCATTTACAGTATATTCAGATAAGAGATAGACCGGACATAAACAAGACCACGTGATCATCGAACGCTGTAACATTCGGCAGGGACGTATTAAGGGTCACGCAGTACATATTTTAGATAGTAGATGCTGCTTTGCGTAACTTTGTAGTAAATTAGCACAATTCGATGTGTATACGATTGGTGATGGATATAGGATCATGTGGGGGTGGGGTAAGAAATATATAATGATGTAAATATACATAAGGGTTTCAAAATTTTCGCTTCGATTTCCAGCTTCGGATGCCGCCTGATGTTTGGTGAAATACAGTCGAATATAATCTCAAAATGGCGTTTAAATTAGCCTAAATTAAAAATAATCGTATATCTCTTAAAATTGCTTTTAGAATATTGATTAGTATATTTTTTGATTTCTAGGTAAATATGTAACCAAATTAAAACGTTCAAAACGTAAAAAAATGCGCATGGTTGAACTTTGTCAGAAAGTAGATTCTTGAATAGGTTTTGCCAAAATGGGTTCAAAAATGTCAATAATTAATTAAAAAATACAGTAGCTTTATAATTACTTATAACTTACCGAATTTGATGAACGACATCTTTTATTGGAAAGATGAGCTTGATGAGCTTTCATCATCGCTACTGCCTGAAGCACCAACGTCAATAATGAATGGCTCGACTTGTTCCTCTAAAATATTGTCCAGTTCCCACATTCTCTTTTCAACTTTGTCTTTCACGTGCTTAATACAGTTTTCCCATTTTTGCGCTGTTATTAATTCTAGTGCTTCTTTGAAAAGTCCCTTGAGGTCACAAAATTTAAAAGTTGTATTGTGCTTAGCTATATAATTTTTAACCTCTGCCCATATGAGCTCAATGGGATTGAGCTCGCAATGGTATGGAGGTAAACGGAGCACAGTTTTATTTTGACTTGCTGCCATTTCGTCAATGGCGTATTTTTGATATTCCGCCTTGTGATCCTTGACAATTCTTAATAATTGTACTTTCAGCATTGCTTCTTCAAAGTTGATATTTTTCGAGCGGAGCCAATTTTGAACATCAACTTTCCTTGAACCCGTTGTTGGGACCTTCTCCATTCTTCGAGAATGATAAGGCGCATTATCCAACACAATTACTGCGTTTTCCTCTAAGTTCGGTAAAATTTTTGAAAACCACTGTTCAAACGATTCGCCATTCATTTCCTCGTGGTAATCTCCAGTTTTCTTAGACTCAAAGCACCACAGACCGTCAACAACAAATCCATCCTCACTGCCAATATGGCAGATAATGAGCCTTTTCCCTTTACCTGGAAATCGAAGTACTAACTGGTGTAGATTTATTTCAATAAGCGAACCTTTTTCAAATGTTTTCATCACATTCAGCGAAAAAACATTGAGACATGAGTATCAGATTGCTATAATTGGGATTATTTAGTCATATTGAAAGAAAGAATATTGAACGTCGTATGATTACTCAGCGCTTCACAATTTAATTTAAAGTTATAAACCTTTAAAAAATGAATGATCAGGAACCTGAAATACGCGCAAATATTAATATTAACAAATTATAACTTTATAAAGCTTAAAGTATGAATTAAAATGATTAGAAATATTAGGAACGGTACACAATATAAAACTCAGTAACTTTTTCTAAGTTTATAATATTCGACATATTTTAAGATTATATTAAAAAATTATCGAAATATCGAAAACACATAAAAACATGTCTTAAAAAAGTTCTAACAAATGAAAATAACAATAAAACATCCACGCATTTTATCGAAAGTTATAAAAGCTTTGTTACTTGTAATATGTTTTATCTGCCCCCTGGAATTAATGTTTAGAACCTTGTTCCCAAGGTTTGAAAAACATCCGATTGTTGTCTATTACTCGTATTTACCTGGATTTTTTAATCCGGTGGACAGTCCATCTAGAAAGGCCCTCCTGGATGAAGTTACAGAATCATCAACCCATACTTTACTTGTAGTGTGTCCTGCGTTTACCCACGTTTCATGAAGGTAATAAATCATCCTGTTTTGATTTCTATATTTCCCAATTTTTGTTAAATAATCCCTCCTCCATAGCACAGTTTCTTCTCTATCCAGTAGTAAACTATTACGACCCCGTTTTTTCCATTTGAAATTTAAATGCTCCAGTAACGCATGGAAAGTTGATCGTTTGTCTTAACACATTAAGCACTGATGCGCGACACACCCCAACTTTGTGAGAAACCTTCACAACAATTTCTTTGATGGTTGATGCCTCGTTCTCCTCACGCTCGATCTTATATATATTCAAAATGACCTCTTTCATTTCTGCACTCAGGTGTCTTTTTTTAGAGCGTTTCCGAGGTGGACTACAGGAGTTTACAACTTCATCGGCAGTATCTGTACTACTGGGCATTTTGCGCAAGCAGTTGATAACAATAACAATCAATAACAGGGTATAACAATAATAACGGCAAACTCAACAACTTAATAAGATAACAAACGAAAACGTCCAAAGAAATATCAAATTGCAATGATGCACACGACATACGTAACACGTCTGAACCTGAATGTGACTCTGCCTTGATACGACTGCTCTGCCGCTCGGCCTAGGCATTTAATTGCGAATTGACCAATGAGAGCTCCTGTTTTACGTCGAGACGGCGGCGTTAGCGTGAAAATCACCCGAACCTTTTGTTTACATCCGGTCTATCTCTTATCTGAATATACTGTAGACGCAGAACATCTAAAAATGGTGGATGAGATCACTACTTGGCGTAGATCTCCATTTTTACAGTCGATAGCTGAATTTTAAAAAGTAGTTCACTCAGTTGACATCTACGCATTTATGTACCTATATCTATTCTCGTATCTCCAATACGCATTATTTCTTGAAAATGATGGATAAATAAATAATATTCGAGAAGATGATACTTGTCATAAATCAACATTTTTAAACTCCCTGATCGCAGGACATCCCTACGATAAATATGTAGAAACTACGGTATTTTCAGAATCGTTCACACTGCAAAGCCAATTGAGATAAAATATGAGGTATAATTGAAGGAAGAATGAATTGCATATACGAGGGATGTCAAAAAACGCTGACCATTTATTTAGACGAAGACTTAATCCAGTGCTTTTGCCGTCTATTTTTTCAAGTACTATATCTTAAGATCGTATCATATTGGAATGTTAAATACAACTATTCATAGCGTAGTTCCTTGTTCTTATCTAGTAGTACTTGATAATTCGAATTTAACCATATTTCTTAATATATCTCCTCAATGATTGCAATAAATACATTTTTTGGCAAAAGAATGGCGTTTTCCTTTGTTCACTTTCACAGAATAATATAAACTCTTTTAAATTTAAAAAATTGATGTCGCTTCCATTCACGCCGATTTTTAGTAAATCTCTACAGAATTACTAGAGTTTCTTAATATGAAACCACTGCACATTGGATTAAGGAGCTCTTATACAGAAAGCTCCGATTGGGAAAGTTTGATTCATCATAATAACGACGATATTCTTAGATTTAGAAATTATAAATTAAGCACCTTGTTCCTGGATGCACAAGGATGGAACTTACCTGAATTGTTTGATGGTCCCTGATAAGTTTAGTAATACAGTTGTAAAGGAACGTGATACACATCCCCGCTAGGATAAGTGAGAATATAATCATGATGATGATTATATGATCCCCAGACCACGCCATCGTTTGTGCGCCCTGGAAAAGAACACTATATTAGAGCTACAAAAACTCCAGACCTTAGGAATTTAAAACTATTGTTTGCCAAAATCTCTTCTTAAACATTTCCAAGTGTAAAGTTTGTTCATATAGTCGCAAAATGAACTTGAGTATCCCACAAATACCACGGTTTTGCAGAGAACATTCCTGCAGGTTGGACTTTTCTGTCCATGTAGCTGGTATGTGTGCAGCATAGAAATAAACGTAAACGCGTTGCTATTACCAAAGAACAGAAACTTGAGGCATTCAGACATTTAGATAGAGGTGATTTGCTTAAAAACGTGGCAAGTGATTTGGGTGGGGGCGTGACCATTTCAGAATGGAAAAAACAACGCAAGAAAATTGAAAAGTTGTCTAGTGTTCTGACATGATAACAGCCGTAACGCAAAACTATGAAAAAGGGTGAATATCAAAAAGTGGATCATGCTTTATATACTAAGTGACATATAAATCCGAACACCCAGTTTAAATGGTTTTATTTTAATAAAATTTGGTGAATGTATTTATCTTATTGTAAATAACAAGTGAAAAAATTTTCAGCCTTATCAGTTGAACATTCCGGTTTTTATACTGCTTTTTTTTTAATTCACTAACGCTCTAAAAATGAATATTTCAGCCGCAGTAAAGAATCAACGTTGGCGGATTTTGTTTCTTGACATCCTTTACGTTCGGTTACGATGCCTAGAGTACGGAGACCGGTACGATTTCGTCAACTTAGTGAGTTTGATAGGGGCCGTATAGTGGGACTTCGGGAAGCTGGACTTTCTTTTCGGGCAATTGCAGTTAGAGTGCAAAGAAGTGTAGACACTGTGGTTAGGTGTTGTCAGGCATGGCTTCGAGAAGGCCGTACGCAAAGAGCAAGGGGCACTGGACGCCGCCGTAGAACAACAGACCGTGAAGATCGCCGCCTAAGATTATTGGCCTTAAGGGACCGTTTCTCCACTACCAGGTCCATTGCAAATGAATGGTTTGCAGAACACGGAAGACCTATTGGCATGCGAAGTGTCTACCGACGAATGAGAAGTTTTGGCTTGTTTTCATACCGGCCACACTGGGTCCTCCCTTTAACTCGAGAACACCGACGTAATTGCCATGAGTGGTGCAGACAACGGTCACTCTGGGATCAGGAATGGAACAGTATTGTCTTTAGTGACGAGTCTCGATTTTGTTTAGGCATGCACGATGGTCGTGCCAGGGTTAGAAGGCGACGTGGTGAAAGGAGGAATCCACAGTGTTTTGTTGAAAGACATGTTCATCACACTGTTGGAGTTATGGTTTGGGGTGCTATAGCTTATGGTTCCAGGTCACCTTTAATCTTCATCAGAGCTAACATGAACGCGCAGCGTTATATCCACGAAGTTCTAGAACCCCATCTTTTACCCTATCTTGACACCCTGGCCGATCCAACTTTCCAACAAGATAATGCCCGACCACATGTTGCAAGAGTCACAATAGACTTCTTTCAACATAATGATGTCACATTGTTACCATGGCCACCAAGATCTCCCGACTTATCCCCAATTGAGCACGTGTGGGATATGATGGGTAGGAGATTGCTCAATTTGCAACGTCCTCCTCAGACTCTAGAAGCACTTCGAGAGGAGTTGGTGGATGCCTGGAATGAGATACCACAGGAGGACATTGACCACCTGATCAGAAGCATGCCTAGGCGCGTTGGAGAATGCGTAGCACATCAGGGTGCATCCACACATTATTAAAGGTCAAACGGCTTTAAAGCAGTGCAATCATTTTGAATTTTTTATCATTTACTTATTATGCTTCATTAAGTACTTATACAAAATTTTATTAAAATAAAACCACTTAAACTGGGTGTTCGGATTTATATGTCACTTAGTATATCTGTGGTTTACAAATAAACGAGATTGTGGAATAGAAATTTCCGGACCAATTCTAAGGTCGCAGATAAAAGTTATCTGCTGATAAACCCGCTGAATTAAAATTTGGAGAACATTTTAAAGAGTCAATGGAGCAGTATGGGTTGAATCCAGAATAAATTTACAACTGCGACGAAACGGGCGTAAACTATAAAATGTTTAGCTTCAAAACAAGAATCTGGAGATCCTGGCAACAAACGCAGTAAAGAACGTGTGCCTATTCTTGCTTGTAGCAATGCTTCCGGTACACACTAACTTCCTTTGTTGTTAATCGGAAAAACAGCTACACCAAGAGCATTTAAACACGTCCATCCCAACGCTCTTCCAGTGCGGTATAAAAATCAAAAAAATGCCTGGATAGATGCCGCTCTATTTAAGGACTGGTTTTACAATTTTGTTCCCAAGATAGAACGATATAACCAGTTTTATATGAACATATAGTGGGAGGGCCGAAGTTCGGCACATCCGCTCTTCCACTTAACCCCTGGTTTTAGGTTTGCATCATAATAAGACAAGCATATTATATAAATGAGGAAAAAATATATGTAGGTATAAGCAGTATCAGAGGATGGACCCTAGCGGCTAATTTGATAAATGGTACTATAAAAATACATAATGACTCCAAAGGCATACCATGCAATTACCTGCAATATAATAGCGTATACGTTTTTTAAACAAATCAATAGAAAGAGAAGTATACTCTCGCGGGATGTTATTATAAATTTTACTGATATAGGAAAACGATCTTTCGAATAAGGTTGTAGAATGAAAAGGCGGTATCAGTTTTGTCTTGTTGCGGGTTTTGCGATTGTGAGCTAGGTAATGGAAATGAATGTTTTCATGTAAGTAGGATGGTAGTTTATGTATAATAATCTTATGGCATTGTACGAGGATATGAAGCAGCCTGCGTTGCTTCATGTTCAGCCAGCCAGCATCAGTAAGCTTTGATGACACTGAATCGTATTTTCTTAAACCAAAAATAAGTCTAAGACAAGAATTTTCCACGCGTTGTATTTTATCGGAGGTGAATTTAGTTAGACATTTGTCATATACGACATCACAGAAGTTAAAATGCGACAGAACAAGAGAATTGCATAGTATGACTTTAGTTTTTTGGTTCATGTAAGATTTTTGACCGTATATCGTCTTTAAATTACAATACGCCCTTCTGGAGCACCTCAAAAACCTTAAGTTTCTGTCAAGGTATAAGCCTAAATTACGCGCTATCGAGCTTATTTCTAAAGTATTGTTATCGAGGTTTATTTTCACCAGAGGTTCACGATGGTCTCTCCAATTTTTCGGCTCGAATAACATGACTGTGATTCAAGTCTAAGCATACGTTTCGAGAAGCTTTAGTGGTCTTTATTTATCAGATCAACAGCAGGCAATGTGTGAGCTGGAGGAAATGATGAGTATCATCTGCACAAAATAAGCTTTACAACAGTGAAGACTGAAGTACAGATTAGAGGTGTAAATAATGAACATTAGCGCACCCAGAATGGAGCCCTGAGGAACACCAATGGTCACATTCAATGGCGTGGAGTACTTATCATTCAGCATTACCTGCTGTTGATGATCGCTGAAGTAGCTGCGCATTAGAGACTCTGTGTCGGCCAAGAATCCGTAAAAGTGGAGCATGGCTAAGAATACATCATCCACCACTCCCAGCAATGCTGTTGCACAGCTATGCGCCGGACGGAACTCTGATTGAGTATATATAATGAGGTTATTCGTTCTTAAGTGATCTCTTCTCTAAACATCCATTATTGATTCAAGCAATTTAGACAATGTTGGCAATATACTAATATTACGCAAATCCTTGAGCTCAGATGGCTGAGCAACTTTAGGCACAATCAAAGCGTGCTTCCAGCAAAAAGGAAAATAGCGTCGCAATATGCATTCTTAATGATATGTGTAATGAAAGGAATAATTTTGGGGCAGCAGTACAACAGCATTTCGATATCACTGATCAACAGCCAAAAAATATCCTAAATAAAATCAACAAAAGATTACTATTTTTAATGTGCTAAAATCGGAATGAAACTTATTTTTTCAATATTAGTTCAAGATTTAGAGATACGGTAATTATATGTGTTCCTGCTGTGACAGTGTTAATATACTGTAATTCACAAGAATGCACGTGCTACATTTTTGTATTCGGCAAGGAAAGATGATGTAATCGGCATGATTGTGTTACGTTATACATACGTGTACATTATATTGTTTTATATTAGCCATTTTTTCCTCAGTTGGCTGACAGCGTTCATGCAAGATGTCTCGAAAGTGTGTAAACAATCCAGATCAGCTTTGTTACGTGTGTGGTGATGTGACTTTTGCGTCTTAGAGACGGTCTATTAATACACTATTAACAAAGGCATATCAGCTTTATTTCGGTTGTAAACTAGGTGATCAAGATAAACAGTGGGCACCCCACATCTGCTGTAATACATGTGCTTCAAGTCTGAGGAGCTGGTTAAATGGCAAAAAACGGTCTATGCGCTTTGCTGTCCCAATGTTTTGGAAAGAGCCTACAAATCATATTAATGATTGTTACTTTTGCATAGTACCTTGTGTTGGACAAGCCACAGGTATGTCCAAGAAAAAAAAATCGGTTATTAACTACCCAAACATACCATCTTGCGATGAGACCTGTGCCTCACAGTGACGAAAATCCTCTTCCAAAACCCCCAGAATCCTATACTTGCGAATCAGAAAACGAATCAGATCATGGCGATCGAGTGATTCGTCAGGAAGAAGATATGCCATCAACATCAAGAGATCCTGATTTTATACCGAGCACGTCATGCCACCGCACAAAATAACACAGTCAGAATTAAATGATCTTGTAAGAGATTTAGAACTTCCAAAATGTAAGGCTTGGATCAAGACTGCTGCAGTGGAACTTGTTAGAAGACGATGTTTCGGTATGTGTTTTTCGTAAACGCCACAAAGACTTAGAACCATTTTTCAATATGGAGAATAACTTGGTTTTCTGCAGTAACATTAACGGCTTACTGGCGGCTTTAAATATAAACTATAACCCAGAAGAATGGAGATTGTTTATAGACAGTTCAACATGGAGTT